AGTAAAGTACAGATACACGAAAATTGTACTTAACTTCCCACCACTATACAGGACTAAATCAAGGATTAAACTTCAGACATCAGAAAAATTGTTTGATAGGGGTCAAGCCAGGTAACAATTTTGGGTGTAATGTCAAAAGGTCCCATTTTAACATAGCTATTTTAGAACTACAATACTATTAGAACCTAATTTAATAACCAATCAAAATCTTCTTGTAAGACTTTGGCCTTGTTAAAGATTTGACTGTGAAGAAGTCGAGTAGTTTAAGCCTCCAAAATGAGCCAGTCTGAACTGTTATTGTACTGTAGGCCTTATATCTTAGGATTTTCTGGTGTTATTTTGGATGTTTATAATATTTTCTTGTTGTGTTACAAATTGTTTTGTAATATGAGTCTCTGTGATGTTATTGTTGGTAACAGTTCTCTTACCTGTAGTAAAAAAAAGATGCAGCAATTAAAATTCTTAGTGTGTTGAAAGCTAATAAGCTCGTGAGACAGTAGGTGTGTTTCAGTTAACTTTAGAAATTTAAGCAACTCACGCAGAAAATGTTTACAATGGCGGGAAATCACAAATGATAATTATCCAATTTAATTTTGTCTGGCATGGTTGACACTTTTGGATTTTGTGACAGACTATCAATTTTGCAGTGTAAATGTCCTTTACAGTGTAAAACATTTGAAGGTGGTTTAACTAGAAAATGAAGCTGCTGCCTTGAAAATGCAATTAAAGTCAGCAAGAAAATTGTATTGGTTTTAACTCAGAAACTAAAGTTCATGAAGTTGATTTAACAATAAGCAAGTGTGTAAATATTTTTAAATTCATTAATCTTGAATTGTGAATTTTAATTTAGTGCTGCAATTTAAACCAAATAATTATTTCACAATGTGCAAGAAAAAAAACTGTCCTTATCTTGTTAAAGAGTACGCATTTCTCAAGTTAAAATAATTACTTATTTTATTTTAGAATAATTAAAATTATTGTTTCAAATTGCATGAATAAAATTTCATGAATTTTATTAAACTTCACAATGAATTAAGCTCAAAAACATTCAGTGTTAACAGGACATTATCCTTAAGCTTTGGAAACTGTCAGTCGCATTAAAGTAAACATTTGCCTTAATAACACACAAAAGCCAGATCAATGTAACACACTTCCATCTCAATCACGGAGGCACACAAGATACAAAAACATGCCACTAAGCACACTGGGAAATAGTTCTCACTCCCATCTTTTTCTTCTTTCATTTTTTAAGTGCCAACCTAAAAACTCACGCCCCCCTGCATGTTTTAGATGTGCCTCTATTCCAGAACAGCTGATTCAAATGATTGCATGACCATCAAGGCCTGCAGAAGCCTGTTAATCACCCAGAGATACAATTCAGGTTTGGCAGAAGGGAAACACCTAAAACATGCAGGACAGGGGGGCGGTGAGGACCAGGGTTGAAGAGAACTGCGTCTAGTTTATTCAACTCTCAGAGGTTTGACAAAATTAATACAAAATTAACACAACTTGCTACTGTAAGTTTATACTTCACAGACTCACACATTTAAGTTCAAAATCTGAAACCCACTAAATTTATTTAACCTAAAAAGTAGAAGATAGCAGACACAACTAAATGTGGCTCAAATGTTTTATGGCAGGGGTGCCCAACGTCGGTCCTCAAGGGCTGGCATCCTGCATGTTTTGGTTCTCTCCCTGGTTTTACACACCTACATCAAATGATGGCTCATTAGAAGGCCTAAGCAGAAAACTGACTTACTGAGGAGGTTGTTACAACGACTAGGAAGAGAACTAAAACATGCAGGATGCCGGCCCTCGAGGACCCACTTTGGACACCCCTGTTTTATGGCGTAGTTGTTTAAATGTTATCTTGAAGATTATCAGATCTACTAAATCATTTAATGAGGCATATTGACACAGCCAGCAGATTCAGCTAAAGTAGTATGTATGCGGGGGAAAAAGAAGCAGATCTATCACAACTGATGTCATAATTGCACAATCATTTCAAGTGTTTAAAGAAGAGTTTTAAATTAGATCAGTACAAAATTGGAATGTTTCATTCATTGCCACTTAGTGTGGTATTTATGTTGATGTGTGGATTCTGTCTTGACTTTCTTTGACTGCTGCTATGCAACAAATTTTCCATGTGGGAAAATAAAAAAGTAAATTTAACTGAACTGAAAGTTAATGCATGGACAGAAATTCTCCCTAAATACCACATTTACCATGTTGATGAATTTATGTGAGAATTTATGTTCACACATAAATTCTATTTTTATGTGTGAACAGAATTGTTTGTGATTCAGTCGTGTTCTCAGCTTGTGTCTGTCTTGTCTGAAGTACATAACCTGAGGGATGTCAACAGTGCATGATGATGTCATCAAGTAATGTGGTTAGATGCTGCTAGCAGCGCTTCAGAATACAAAATCAATGCTCAAGCTTGCAAGTAGGAAATACAGAATTACTTAAATCTGGAAAGATGAAGACTGATGAATCTTTGTTCTATAAAATTAAAGCAGATGCCAAATCACACCTGTCAGAAAACATCTGAGTGTAATTATCTGATAATCCCAGAGGCTTGCATACCTGTGCTACTGATCATTTTTGTCTCATCTTTTTGAAATATCTTAGTCTGCTAGCTACACTTGTATTAAACTGCAATGCTTTGGGTTCTGTATTTCCATTCACAAATCTAAAGGTTCTGTCTTGTCTTCTATATTCAGATGCCAATGTCTATCTTACTGAACCTGTTATTTCTTGAATTGTCAATCGATGTCAATATCAGAAGAAATGTGGCATTCCACGATCAAAACTTAAACAGAAACAAAGTGTTGCCAGTTGTATCTTAGATTCACCAACATGTAAACAATCGGTAGTTCAAAAAGAACAAACACTAATCCAGTGTTAAAGCTGATTGTGTGTTAAAAGGTACTGATGAATGAAATATTATGATAGTATTTTTATTTTTTCAAGAGTCCATTGCTGCCTAGGGTTAGGGTTAGCCTAACCCTAACATGAACTGAATTCCTGGAAATTGAGAAGCTGTCAGTAAAACAAAGAGACCACAATGAGGTTCACCAGATCTCCAGATTCCATCAACCAAACTTCTCTCACATCCATTTTCATCTGTAGACCAAATGACAGTCAAAACCTGTTGAAATGCGCTGGTACTCATCACATTAATATTTCAGTTTCAGTTTTCTTTAATATAATTCTGTATTTGCATAACAGTGCTTGATTTAAAACAAAGTTATGCAGTAAAATAAGTATTAAATATGTTGCGTGTTGTTTTTCCCTGTTTATTTTTTCTGTGTGACTGATCTCTGTTGACCAAGTTATCGAACACGTATCTACCATGAAAATGGTTAGAGTAAACATAATAAATAAAATAAAAACATGTTTCCAGCTTTTTTTTTATCTAAACAAATAGAGCAGTGGTATTGCATATGGTCTAATATATTTCAATAAAAAATTATGTCCCTTAATACAGACTTAGACTCTGACCCTTTTATCCAAATATTCTCTCATTTCAGTGAGGCAGGATATCACTGTGAAAGTGTCAACATATTTCTACATGACAAAACACTAAATTGAACAATTAAAAATAAAAATATTAATCTTCTTACATACTGCAACATGGCTGAGCAAGGAGCACACACTTCAAAGCACCAATACACTTAAAATTCCCCCTAACACACATACATAATCCATAATCCATACATCACCAGAACACACAAACACATTTAAACTTAATTAAACCAACAAACACATCTTACATTATTAGCAAGTTACAAATTGTGCAGCTTTTCAAAGCTTGTTGATTGACCATATAATCATGTCTGAATCCAGAAGCTCTCCAATGTGACAACTTTCTGACTGCACAACGTTCCAATTAAAGATGTTGCTACGTTTCAATCAGTGCCTCCTGCACACACTCCAACTAGTTTTCAGAAGTGAGAGAAGGAGAAAGAGTGAGTAAATCTGGAGAGGAGCAACATATCTGAGCATGAAAACACACAGTGAAACTTTTAAAAGGCACAGAGGAGAAATTAGAAGAAGCTCACCAAATCTCAGGACGTGTGGCATCCCATGAGCGCAGCCCACACAGTGTAAGAGCAGCAGCAGCCTCATGGTGTGCCTGAATCTCGCTTTAAATATCAGGAAGGAGGTAATCTTCATGGTGCTTGTGTTCTGCACAGGATTTTATTCCACGAATCGGTAAATTCCCCAGACTTTATATATGTCACGCCGTTAACATTTATTCGGATTGGAGCAAGATCACGGCATGCTCTACGCCGGGTTGAACAACGGCTTTCTCACATCCATTTGGCGGAGAAAAAAAAGAAAAGAAAAAGGGATCCGTGCGTGTCCGGCTCACTGCGCCAACAAGAACCAGCCCTCGGACTCAGTTGAGGAAGATGATGGTGGGGGTGGTGACGGGGCATCCATGTCAGGCAGGGCAGGGCTTCAACAGATCCATTTGCTGAAAGAAAAAGGCAGAGACAGAGGATGAGAGGGCGCTGATCCAGTCCGAGCTCCTCCTGCTGCACTGCCGCACAGAAAGCTGACGTCGTGCCAACACTAGTGGAGTGAGAGCGCACAGGACGGACCGGGCATGTTTCTCGATTACAGCTGGTCACACTGCGCGCTTTTTCTCTGCATTCCCTGCTGAAATTGACATGCCTGCCCTCAACTCCTGTCTCTCCCCTTCCTTCCTGTCTTCCCTCTGATCCTGTATCTCGGCCACCCAGCCTCACAGATTCTCTCCCGGCTTCACTCGCTGTTGCCGGCAACGGAGCGCCGCTCTGCGCAGCCTTATAAAAGCAATAAAATGATGGATTTGAAGTGATAGTCTCTGTTTGATCGGTGTCACTGAGACGTACTCCTATGAATTTTGAAGAGGTATTTCACCACTAATCTTCTTTCTTCTGTATTATTTTAGATTATTTTAGTCAGACAGAGACGAACAGTGAACACTAACTTTTAATCTTTTATTCATAGGCCGACTCTGAAATATTTTTCAAGTTCGATTCTGTTTCCAGTTTATTTTCCAATTACTAAAACAGGAATAATTTGGTTCAAATAAACGTTTGGCCTTCAGATATAAGAATGGAATTTGACTGAGTTTTTTGTGGGGGAAAAAAAAAAAAAAAAAAAGTTTGTTTGAACTTTCTTTTTTTGGGTGGGGGGGCGGGTGTAACGCATAATTTGCGAATTAAATGCATTTATCCACTTTTATAATATAAAGATAGAGAAAAAAGAGTAAAGGAAGGCGACTGGCATTTAATGAAAATTGTCACGCATCTTCAACAACAATTCAAAGATAATCTGATTTGATTGAGATTAAATAGGGTATAATGTTCAACACTATAGTAAGAGGTGCAGTGCTTTTATACACAAACAGCAACTGTGATAAATAAGGTAGACTACAGTAAAGCAGAGGCTTAAAATTGTTTTCAGCACCACGGACAGCGATTAGTTTCTGTTTTAGCGACAAAATTAACACTTTCAGCCTGTTTCTTCTTTGTTCTGTCAGCTCCCTCTGCCTATTTAGATTCTTAATTAGCTGAGACGCAAGACAGAATATATTAATAATAAGCTGCTTCTCCACACTGTCTGCATCTATACGGACAACCATGTAGGATGGCCAACACCCAACTTACCTCCCAGCCTGAATCTAAAATGTATTTTTCAAACTAAAATGAACAGAGTAAATATTAAGCACAGGCCGAAAGCGAAATACGCATTTTAGTGCCATATAAAGGGGATTCAAACACAATGAACCACTAAATCTCGTACACTGCACGGAGGAAATTTATTGGTTGTTTCCCTAACGTTTATTTCTCGACACATTTAGATATTTTCAAAGGTCGACTATTAAAGTTTAATGCGATGACATACATTGTTAGCTTTTATTAAATCAGTCATTTAAAGCAGTTTAACCAGCACTACGGGAAAGCAGATTTGGAGCGAAGTCGTAAAGGAGCATGGAGCACCTTTGATCAGTTTTAATGACGGCTAAAAGCTTTCTGCAACTGACATGAGTTGGAAAAACAAAAACAGTTAAAAGGGAGACAGATGTTTTCTAGAGCCGTTTCTTTATGCATGCTGCCACATAGAACTGGCTTCTTTCCTTAATTCAAACCTCTGTGCGGTACTAAGTTCATTTAACGTTTTCTTTGGATGCAAATACAGTTGTCATCAAAGTGTGTCATCTGTGTAACATTAAGTGGCAGAGGACCAGAAGGAGTCCAGAAAGCGTGTCTTCAGAGCGGGAGAAGTTTCTACTTTAACTCTGACACTTAAAACTGGGCCGCACACGAAGTTCAAACCCGGAGAGCTCTCCGCTCCGTTCGGGAGGCGATATGAAAAGGCTTCAATTTGCTGTTTCCACAAAGAGTCGTTTTCTAAACGGATGTAATCCGCGAAGGGTGGGGAACCAAGCAAGTGCCGAACATATCTCCTCGGGATGCACATACATGTAAAATTTAAAAAATAAAAAAAAATGGGGGGGAGTAAAAAGAAAAGAACGGGTTTACCTTAGATACAGCTGGCGCAGGGAAGTCACCAGAGCAGCACAAAGAAGTTGACTTGTTCCTACGGAGAAACCGGATCCCAGTTGCAGCTGGCAACGTTGAGCTCCGACTGTAAGGGAGACACGCCTCCTGTTGGACGGCAGGACGCACTGCTTAAAGCAACAGGGAGCTCCAGGGAGACGCGCCGAATCTGGGTCTGCAGCTGGATAGACTGCTCCGGGGTGAGGCACATACAAAGCTTTTAAAACCAGAATTAGGCTATCTAAAATTAACCTGGAACGAGTTTTTATATTATTATTATTATTATTATTATTATTATTATTATTATTATTATTATTATTATTATTATTATTATTATTATGATTATTATTATTGTTGTTGTTGTTGTTGTTGTTGTTCTTATTATTAGCAGCAGCAAACAGTAAGTGTTCAGGTTGATTTTTAAAGAAAAATGTCACTCAGTATGTGGCCGGTATTCAGTACCGTATACTTTTGACTGTGGAAAAGGAGGAGTGAAAAAGGCCAAAGAAAAACACTCACTTAATCCGAAAAATGCTTCAAAATGTCAACGACAAAACGCTCAAATGTTCCTCATACAGCCATAGTTTTACTAAATATGGACTGTGTGTGAGTGTGCTAATATGTTGCAGTTTGGCTGAATGTCAGGTTAATCATTGCAGCCTGGAGAGAACCACTGGAATATCTAAGCTTTTATGAAATCATGTTTTCTGTGCAGCCGATGTTTAGAAGAGTCACAAATATGAGAAGAACGCGCGTGCGTGTGCAAATTTACAGTCGGTTTAGACGTGCATGCGCCTGCTTTTGTCTTTCGTTTTTCCATCAAACCACTACGTAAAAAAAGGGTTTTGCCTTCAAGGTCTCCTTCGGGTTCAGCTGATCATGTAAATAGGGTCGATATTAATCTGGTTGTGGCATATATTAATTATTCTATATAATTTAAAAGTCTAAGAAAAACTTAATATCACGTTATATTCACAGTTCACATTCCATTTGTTATCAATACATGTACAGCCATCTGACTGTACATGTTTCAAATAGAAATTAAAATGTCTATTATCCAGATGGGATTCATTTTTAGAGTCTCGGTGTTAGAAGTAATAACAGATTGTTGTGAGATTATGAATATGAACTGATTTCCCTCCAATGATATTTGTGCTCCTTGCTCAGGTATGACAATCTTTCTTCATTGTCAGATTCTTAAAATTGTCAAAAGGAGTAAAGATTGTTACAGTGGTAGGTGGCAAATATCTATTAGTATCTGCTCACTGTTACATTGTGTAAAAGTACAAAACAAAAAGATAAAAATAATTATTTTTCCCAGTTAGTGTTAGCCATAACAATCTAAAAGACCCTTTTAAAACCTGTTTTGTTTATTTATTCATTTATTTTTTAACTAGACAATCTGCAAAAAAAAATAGTATAGTTTCCCTTTGAGTCTTCTTGTCATTTTTTTTATTTCCGTCGATTGTATTTGCAAAAATATGATTTTGATGACAGAATTTTTTTTGTTCTTTGCAAATCCGGCATTATTTAGAAAAAAACAAACAAACATGAACCAGAAGGGACTTTTGTTTGTTTTTTTTTGTTTATCCTAAAGTCATATCAATCAACCTCCATTAACAAATCAACATCCAAAATATACAAGGAGTTATAAAAGCGAGAGGGAGAGGTTACATTATATATCACAGAGCAATGGGAGAAGGTAAGGTAAGATAATTTTATTTATATAGCACTTTTTCAGCAACAAGGCAATACAAAGTACCTTATAGGAATTAAAATGAAATAAAATAAACCAAAGGAAAGAGCAAGAGAAGAAAAAGCTAATGTTACATCCACCAGGCTTGTTTGGTGGGTAACATTAAAGGAGACCACACAAGGATTTTCTGACTTAATGAAAATTGAATTTATTAAATTATACTAAAGATATAAAACCTAAAAAAGGAATACCTGAAATGAGAAACCAAAACAGATTAACGCAAAACCCATAGCTAACCAGAAATAAGAAAATGCAAAACAAACCTAACAAGACCCAACCATAACATACAAACCAAACCAAATGGAGTTCTGAGGAGGGAGAGGGAAAAGCCTCCTGTCTGCTGCATGCATGGCAGCTTTAAAGCAGCAGAGCACCAAAAAGGGCAAAACATAACACCTGCAGAAGGCCAGTCTCCAGGACACTGTAAGGAAAAAGGGCAGAGACCCACTGCAGGCGTAACATTAATAATGTTGAACCAAAGTAAATAAACTAGATACTCCTATTCAAGGTTGGTAGATAAGTATAAGTAAGTATCCTCTGGTCTAATTCCTTTTCTGGTTTGGAAAATGAATTTAGTCTAAAAAGTAGTTGCTAAAGTAGTTTTTCTGGACTCTAAGTTCTAATCCCTGTTCTGGGTTGCTAAATCAATGTAAGTATTCTCTGGACTTTCAAAGTGTGCTCTAAATTTGTAAAAGTAATGAGTACTCCACAGTTTCTAAGTAATAATATAAACTAAATGTTCCTGTTCTGGAAGAATTTTTTGTTCCAATTCCTTTTCAGGGTTGCAATAATAGGAGTCTTTCTGCATAATAATCTAAAAATAATCTAATATTGATCTAAATTGTGAGTATTCTACTGTTTCTAAAATATAAGCTAAAGAGTGACTAATAAACTAATAAACTAGAGTCTCTGGATTCCAGGTTTTTTCTAATTCCTTTTCTGGGTTAAAAGTCCACAGTTTCTAACAAAATAAAATAAAAAAGAGGAAAGGACACATTAGGACAAATGGCAACATTCAGACAAAACAAAGGGCAAAACAAAGACATGAGTGAAGGCGGTGACATCACAGGGCCATGAAACTACGTTGCTCAGCCTCCCGGCAGAAGTCCGATAAGATGTTGTCAAGGAATGTCCTTGGGAGCACCCAGCTCCACAGCTGCATGGATAACAGGAGGAGGTGAGGTGGGAAGGAGTGTTATGTTTACACATCTTCAAGGAGATTGGAAAAATGCAGCCCTTCCAAGGCAACACTGCAATTCAGATGCAGAATGTCTTAGGTCGGGAAAATTATAAATTTCAATCTTCCCTAAAGTCTCTCTGATACATCTAAGTTCCCAGTTATCCTAATTAGTTTGGTCATTCCACTGAGCCGAAACTAGCAACTTCTCCAAGATCGATTCCAACTCGTTAGTGACTTTTTGAGTCCTCAGCTGAGCTGCGAGTCTCAGTAAGACTCACATCCAACTTGCGTCTCTGTCCAGACAAACAGTCTGAGTGTTCGCTAGTTCGGCCAAGTACATCACAAATTTGTCAATAAGCCAGGTAGGTATCCGCAAGCAAGAAGGAAGGTAACAATCAAATTCACAATGAAAACTATTTAGACATTTTGAATAACTGTTGGAAATGTACACTAATATATGAATTTCCCATTTATTTTCTTATTGGGTGAAAATTAAGCCAAGTGTGGATAAGTGTGTCATTGGGGCCAATATTACGTTAAATTTTGAGACTATGTTCTTGGGCAAACGGCCAAACTGTGTAAAGGGGTTTTCTAAAATGTATGTCTGATAGCAATTACTGCTAATTGCCAGTAAAAAAGCAATCACTCAAAAATGGATGACAGTAGAAGACAAGATAAACATCATTCAGGATATTCTCTGAATGTAGGAACTGACATTTGCACTGAAACTGGAGCAAGATAGATCTGAAGAATGTTCGACTCCATGGCAGACTTTCATGAACACTAGATCTGAAACTAATAAAAAGGAGGTGACACCCATTGTTCCTTACACTCACCGGCCACTTTATTAAGCATACCTTGCTGGTACTGGGTTGGGCCCCTTTTGTCTTCAGAACTGCCTTAATTCTTCGTGGCATAGATTCAACAAGGTACTGGAAACATTCCTCAGAGAGTCTGGTCCATAATGACATGATAGCATCACACAGTTGCTGCAGATTTGTCAGCTGAACATCCATGATGTGAATCTCCCGTTCCACCACATCCCAAAGGTTCTCTACTGGATTGAGATCTGGTGACTGTGGAGGCCATTCGAGTTCAGTGAACTCATTGTTGTGTTCAAGAAACCAGTCTGAGATGATTCACACTTTATGACATGGTTCATTATCCTGCTGGAAGTATCCATTAGACGATGGGCACACTCAGGTCATAAAGGGATGGACATGGTCAGCAACAATACTCAGGTAGGCTGTGGTGTTGACGTGATGCTCAATTGGTACTAATGGACCCAAACTGTGCCAGGAAAATATCCCCCACATCACTGGACCACCACCAGCCTGAACTGTTGATACAAGGCAGGATGGATCCATGCTTTCATGTTGTTGATGCCAAATTCTGACCCTACCATCTGAATGTCACAGCAAAAATCAAGACTCATCAGACCAGGCAACATTTTTCCAATCTTCTGTTGTCCGATTTTGGTGAGTCTGTGTGAATTGTAGCCTCAGTTTCCTGTTTTTAGCTGACAGTAGTGGCACCTGCTGTGGTTTTCTGCTGCTGTAGTTCATCCGCCTCAAGATTTGGCATGTTATTGTAATGAAGGTCTTCATTACTTGGCTGTACAACACTTAAGATGTGTGTTGAATGATAAATGAAACAAATACAAACAGATTGAAGTATATTATTGATTGTGTGTTTTTATGCAGTAGCATCTCAGCTGGAACTGACGGCGTCCTGTTAAAATACAACAAAGGGATAATATAAGTATATTGTGACTGTTTGAAATACACTGAAATGTTTGAAGGCTTTGTGTGTGTGTGGCTTACCTCTGTCTCTTCCTCTGTAGGGTGTTCAGGCTAAAAGATTCCCTGGGAGCCTCAGCACCTTTTAAAGGTTCCAGAAGAGACCAAAGCAGATGGAAGAGGGGGAGCAATAGAGCTATGCATTTATAAATTTAATGTTGGATTTATATTTTTAGTGATAGAGATGTGTTTTTAGAGATGCTTAAAACGAATAGCATTTGGTAATGTATATTATTCTGAAGATTTGGTTATTTTGTCAAAGTTTTTTGTGTGTATGTATTTTGTTTTACCCTGTTTCTTGGTGGGTTTGTTAATTGGAACAGCCAGGGACTATAAAAGGCTGCATGTTGGCTAGTGATGGGCAAATGAAGCCTCATGAAGCAATTAAGTTTTCCAACCCTTTGCTTTGCAAAA